CCAACTTCTGTGGGTTGTTCTCTGGTCTCCTCCTGTGCCATGGCTTCCTTTCCTCCCCCAAATTAAAACAATGAAAAAAAAAAGGCATGGGCAGAGTAGTTCACATCTGTAATCCCAGCATTCAGGAGTTTGAAAACAGCTTAGACAAATAGGAAGAGCCTATCTCAAAAAATGCAAATGTGCAGACTGGCTTAGTAGTTAAGAGTGCTTGATACTGGGCTGGAGAGACGGCTCAGTGGTTAAGAGCATTGACTGCTGTTCCAAAGGTCCTGAGTTCAATCTCAGCACTCACATGGTGGTTCACAACCCTCTGTAACAGGGATCTTCTGGTGTGTCTGAAGACAGCCACAGTGTGCACATATATACAAAATAAGTAAATCTTTAAAGAAACCAAAAAGAAAGAGTGCTTAATACTTTTGCAGAGGAACCAAGTTCAGTTCCCAGCACCCACATGGTGCACAAGTGGTGCACAGAAATACATGCAGGTAAAACACACCACACACACACACACACGCACACAAATATAAAACTTTTAACTTTAATTTTGTGAGATAGGATCTTACTATGTAGCTGCGGCTGCCCTGAAACTCACTATGTAGACCAGGCTGGCCTTGAACTCACAATCAGCCTCCCTAGTGCTGGGATTAAAGGTGTTCAGCACCACTGCCCAGGGCTGGCATATGTTTCAATTTAAAAGAAATAACAACAAAATTGGGCTGAGGATGTAGCTAAATGACAGAAACTGGTCACAAGCCTGTTTTGTCTACACTACACACACACACACACACACACACACACACACACACACACACCAGCAAAGTATTGTTGGCAACTCCTGCTAACTGAAACAACCCTAACATCCATGAGACGGGTGCGGCAAATTGTGGCCATTTGTCAGATGGGATATCTCACAGTAGTTTAAGATGGTCAATTTGGTGGCAGAGCTGCTCAGACCTGAAATCCTACCCTAGTACTGAAGAGGTTGAAGCAAGAGAATCGGGAATTTGGGGCAGCTGAGATAGTTTTAGTCAATATTTTATTGTTGAGACAAAACACCATGACAAAAAAGCAACTTGGGAGGAAAGGGTTTATTTGGTTTATGTTTTCATATAGCAATCCATCATTGGAGGAAGTCAGCATAGGATCTCAATCAGGGTAGGAACCTGGAGGCAGGAGCTAATGCAGAGGTCATGAAGGAGTGGTACTTACTGGCTTGCTTCCCAACAGCTGTCTCAGCCTGCTTTCTTTTTTTTTTTTTCTTTTTTTTTTTTTTTTTTTTGGTTTTTCGAGACAGGGTTTCTATGTGTAGCCCTGGCTGTCCTGGAACTCACTCTGTAGACCAGGCTGGCCTCGAACTCAGAAATCCACCTGCCTCTGCCTCCCAAGTGCTGGGATTAAAGGCGTGCGCCACCACCGCCCAGCCCTCAGCCTGCTTTCTTATAGAACCCAGGACCATCAGTCCAGAGATGGCACCCCTCACAATGGCCTGGGCCCTCCCCCATCAATCACTAATTGAGAAAAGGCCTTACAGCTAGATCTCATAGAGGGATTTTCACAACTGAGGTTCCTTCCTCTCTGGTGACTCTAACTTGTGTTAACAACAAACCGAGCCAGTACAGATATTAAAAAAAATAATAGGACCGTTCTTGTAGCTTGAGGTATCGGCGGGAGCGGCCGAGTGGCGCAAGGAGCTGTTATCAGAGCCGGAGCTGCCGGTTAAGCCTGATCAAGATGACAACCTCCCCAAAGAGACTTCGTGGCAGAGCCCATGGGGGAAAAGCCAGTGGGGAGCCTGCCCGGGATTGGTGATATCCTTAGCAAGAGGCTGGAAGAAAGGGGCTTTGACAAGGCTTATGTGGGCCTTGGCCAGTTTCTGGTGCTAAAGAAAGATGAAGACCTCTTCCGAGAATGGCTGAAAGACACATGTGGTGCCAATGCCAAGCAGTCCCGGGACTGCTTTGGGTGCCTTCGAGAATGGTGTGATGCCTTCTTGTAATGTTCTTTGGGGACCCCTCAGCCCCCCAGCCATAGCATAGAGTCTCCAGAGTCTGCAGCAGGGCAGGGCTCCTCCCTGTCCTCCATGAAGGAATAAGATGGCTGTTGTCATCCTCACCTCTTATATACTCCAGGGTCTTCTGGAAGTTCTCTCCCCTCAGCATTTCAACCTTTCTGGAATTCTTTCCCTTGCATGCGTTCCCCTTCCACTCCCCACCCCCCTTGCAGGTCCAAGACAACAGCTACGAGCTTTCCTGAATGGATTCCTGGCCCCCTCTCCCTCCCTTCACCATCTGTTGGATGCCCTTTGGCTCCTTTCCTTTTTTTTTTGGCAAAAACAGTCACTGTCCTTATAAAAGATTTTTAAATTAATAAAGTCAGTGGCCTTCAAAAAAAAATAATAATTCAAGTGCCAGCACATTGCTCAACAGGTAAAAGAGATTGTGTACCTGGCAGTCCAGAGGTTGTGTACCTGATGACTGAGGTTATCATTATAATTGGCCAAGTGCGTTTACTCTCTCAGCCATGTCACCCTTTTTTTCTCCTTTGAGACATGGCCTATGTAGCCCTGGCCGTCCGTCCGTCCGTCCATCATGCTGTTTTTGACCCGATCCTCCTGCCTCAGTCCCCCAAGTGCTGAAATTAGAGGCACCTGTTACGGCATCCAGCTCTATATAGTTGATTTTTTAAAAATATATTTTTAAAGACTTTATTTATGTATATGAGAACACTGTCGCTGTCTCCAGACACACCAGAAGAGGGCATCGGATCCCATTACACATGGTTGTGAGCCACCATGCTGTTGCTGGGAATTGAACTCAGGACCTCTGGAAGAGCAGCCAGTGCTCTTAACCACTGAGCCATTTCTCCAGACCCTATATAGTTGATTTTTTAAGTTTTTATATTTTTGTGAATTGGTTTCTATAATTAAGGTTTCATTTGCAAGAAGAGGTAATGAAACCAGTTTAGGTTTCCAGGAGTTCCTGTATAATGTCTGATTTTTACTTAGTAAAATCGGGAACCAGTGGCTCGGGATGGAAGAAGTCTAAGCCAAAAAAGGAGCCCAGAGGTCTCTGAGACCAGGAAGATGAAACACGCTTTTGGCACCTTCTGCAAAGCCTGAGGGTGTGCGGACCCTTTAAGGCACCCGGAAATGAGAATTCAAGACCGGACGTGTCCTACTTATTTTCTCTTCACGTGGTCTGGGCCGGAAGTGACGCGTGAGGCCCGGGAGCTGCGGACGGGAAGGCGGACGGAGCTGAGTCGCAGACACCGCGGGGTCTCCGGGACAGGTGACCGGGGGAGGGGGCCGGGAGCGCGCCCGGAGAGGGCGGGGCCTGTTCGCCCACGTGAGGGGAGCGTGAACGCGCGCGGTCTGGGAGACGAGCCGCCGGCGGGGGCGGGGTCAGGGTACTCTGCGGGGGGCGGGGACGCGACGCCCACATGTGTCGCTTGAGGGGTGCTGAGGTTGGGCCGTGAGCATGTGGGCAGGGCCAGACGAGCGGGTGCGGGCGGGCCCGGAGTCCGGACGGTTCCAGAGCGGGGCGGGGCTTGAAAAGCTGTGTTCGGGCTGAGGGCGGGGCCAGAGTTTTTCCTGGAGGACTAGGGGGCAGGCTCGGGACGTTGGGCAGAGACGCTGGGGGCGGGACCAAATAATGTGGGGTGGGAATAAGAGGCGGAGTCTGGGCGTTGGCAGGATGAACTTGGGGGCAGGACTAAAGTGTTGACGCGTGTAAGGGGTGGAGTTTGGGCGGTAGGCGGGCGAACTGGGGGAGTGGTCAAAACGGCGCGGGGCGGGATAAAAGACAGTGGGCGGAGTGAACTGCTGGAGGGGCGTGGTCATGAAGGCCAGGGGCGGAGCTGAGGGGGGTGGACGTGCTCGGGGCGTGGCCAAAGTTTGGAGAAGAGTTGGGAAAGGGGCAGGGTTTGGGCTTTGAGTGAAGAGGTGATGGGTTTGGTCAAGATGCTGGGAGTATAGCCGGAATGTTGTCCTTAGTATTTTGGGCATTGATTGCTGCGCTAGGGCATGGTTACAGTATTTAGTGGATGGGACTAGTGTTTAGGGTGGGTGAGGCAGGAAAGTTTCTTGGTTCTGGTGGTGGGTCCCGATCATTGCCCAGAAGCTAGGGGAGGGTCCGGGGGCTGGCTGAGACTGGATGGAGGTGGGGCTAAGATAGCAGGGATTTCGAGGGTGCTGGTGGAGAAGGGCGAATAGCAGGGGGTGGAGGTGGGGCTAGGGTGCTGGTGGAGAATGGCAAATAGCGGGGATGCAGCTAGAAAGTTTTTACTGAGCTGAGAGCGCAGCAGAACACGGGCAGGGAAGCTGGGAACGCAGAGGCAGGGTCAGAATGTTTCCCGGCATGTTGGGGCGGGGCCGATTAATTTGGAGGTGGCGCCAGGGTGTGTGATTTTTTGTGGGCGGGGCCAGAAGTCTGGCGAGAAAGAAGGGGCCTGAAGTTTCACCCTAGTTAGGGGCGGGACCACGAAGGTTTTTGGAGGTTAGGGGTGCGGTTGCGGGTGGCAGCTTTCTCTTGTAAGTCTCTGTAGTTCTGTCTTCTGCCTTGAGTATCACTATGAAGGTCAAGTCCGGTCCAGGAAGGCCCTTGCAGTGGATCCTGGGCCTGCTTGCTGAATCTTTTCCGCCTTGGTAGGATGAGTGCCTTTTTAGGTTGCTGGGGGCCGGGCTATATCAATCTTAGGGGAGCCAGGGACTAAAGTTGTCTCAGAGTTGGAACTGTTTTTCTTTTTTTTTTTTTCTTTTTTTCTTTCTTTCTTTTCTTTTTTCTTTTTTCTTTTTTTTGAGACGGGGTTTCTCTGTATAGTCCTGACTGTCCTGGAACTCACTCTGTAGACCAGGCTGGCCTCGAACTCAGAAATCCACTTGCCTGTGCCTCCCAAGTGCTGGGATTAAAGGCGTGCGCCACCACCGCCCAGCGGAACTGTTTTTCTTTATGTTTTATTTATTTTGTACATGTATAAGTGATCACATGGAGGCCAGAGGACAACTGGTGGGAGTCGGTTCTCTTTTTCTACTTTGTAGGTCTTGGGGATTGAACTCAGGTTCTCAGGCTTGGCAGCAAGGACCTTTACTCCAGGAGCCGTCCCTCTGGTCCCCTAGAAGTTACTTTTGCGGGCTGGAAGGAAAGGTTGTAGCCGACCTTCTGAGATCCAGATCCTAGCTAAAATTGTCATAGGAAATGGGCCCTGGACTGCTGTCTTTGAGGAATTAGTATTAGTTACAGGGGTGGGGTCAGAATTTTCCCAAGGTGGGTCTGACTAGTTGCATGGGTGGATCTAAAACTGAAGGGCGGGGTTTGTGTTTCTTGAGGAGAGAGGAGAGGCTAGGACTTGAGACTTCCCTTGATGAATGCAAGTAAATTTCTCTGTGAGTCTGTGCTCTTGGAACCCTCAGTAAAGGAGGGGAGACAGCATTTCAGAATACTGTTGATGTTAACATACTGTTCTCTGCCCTCAGGCGCTCCCAGTGCTACATGTATTTTCTGTGAGGGAGGTCACAGCCAATGATGGTGAGCTGGAGAGGGGTGGGCGAGGTGGGCTATAGAGACCAAACCCTGAGATCCTGGGTAAAATGCCTTTCTGGTAGGAAGATTTTTTTTCTTTCCGACTTTCAACTGCTTCCCTATTACAGGCTACCACACTAGATTTGAAATCTAAGGAGGAGAAGGATGCGGAGTTGGACAAGAGGATTGAGGCTCTTCGCCGGAAGAATGAGGCCCTCATCCGGCGCTACCAGGTGCCCTAGCCCTGCCCTGGAGACCCCATCCCCTCTCCTCCCCGCAGTGAGTTTTCCTCACCTCTCCCTTCAAGTTTTCTCATGTTTTCCCTTCACTCACAGGATGCAAGCCAGAGGCCGTGGTCTGGCCTCCCTCTCTCCATCCTGTCTTTCATTCATTCATTCATTCATTCATGGATTCACACTCGGCCCACTAATGCCTTCAGAGGCCCTGCTCCATGCTGAGTGGTCCTGGGTACACAGTCCCCAGACCTGTTCTTAGGGGTCACTGTCCAATTTGGGACATAGTTGCCCTTTGTGATGACCCAGAGTAGACAAGGCTGGGATGGGGGAATGAACAGGTCTGTGGAGTCCAGAGCTCTCCCTCTAGCCTGAAGACATTGGTGAGGGCTTTCTGGTACAGGGGATTCTGAGAACTGAAGGGCGCCTTGATATTAGGAAAGGAATTGGAAAGGAAATGGGCCATGTTTCACACGGGGGAAGTTTGGTCAAATTTTGGATGCAAGAGAGGGCTTCGAAAATCAGCTGGTGGAGAATTGATCTAGGGAGGTCATCAGGGGCCAGCCGTGTAGGTTGGAGGATGCCTGAGTGCTCTAGGGAGCCATGGAGGGCTGTGGATGGGAGTGAGGCCTGGTGAGAGTACTCTGTACAGGGAGACACACTGAGTTTTTCTATGTAGTAGTGGATGGGAGGATATCATTTTAGAGTCCAGATAGAAACCTTGGGCAGGCGTCCTAGTGGGAGGGCACAGGCATGGCTCAGTGACCAAGGGTGGTTGGGGCTAGAATGGGAAGAGGAGGGAGGGCCCAAGAGGCCATAGTGGGGCTATCTCTATGAAGGGACCTGAGAGAAGGGTGGCCCTCATTGACTCATTTTTCATGCATTCATTCATCAAAACAGAACAAAACAAAAACCTAAAAGTTGGATTTGATTGTATGCCAGGCAGCATTGGAGGCTAGGAGGTGGTGGGGTGCATCTGAGAACAGTCCCGACAGGGTCCCCACGCTTTACCAAGCCAGGGATGAGAACAGAGAAAGGCAGGCTGGTGGTGAGACACTTGAAACCTGCGTAGTTACAGAAGCAGCTGGTACAAAAGCCGCGGGGCAGTTCTGAGCCCTGGAGATTAGCAAGAAGGCCTACAGATGAGCGGGAGAAGGCCCCCACTGGGTTCCCTGGTGATGGGAAAGCATTTGGCTCTGACTGATGGGCTTACTCACAGTGGGGGCTTTGGAGCAGCAGAGTAATGTGCAGGGGTTTGATGGAAGATGCTGTGCCCCGTGTCTGAAGCTGTGGAGAGAAGCCTGAGAAGAGGTGCAGGGACGATGCAGGGACAATGGGAGTCCAGCTGATGGACACGACCCCTAACACTCCATTCCCCTGGGTATTTGCTTCTAGGAGATTGAGGAGGATCGGAAAAAAGCTGAGCTGGAGGGTGTGGCAGTGACAGCCCCCCGGAAGAGCCGTTCCATGGAGAAGGAGAACATGGCAGTGGAGGTGGAGACCCCAGCATGTCTGACTCTGCAGAAAGGGGAGGCGGCCGAGGGCTGAGGCCTGGGACCAAGACCTGCCACTGGCTCTTGGCCTAGGGTGTTCCAGTCTATCTAGCCTTTCACTGATTTCTTTTTCCTCTCCCTTTCAGGAGAAGAGCCTGGGTCCCTCTCGGAGGACTCCTGGGACTCCTCGGCCCCCGGGGGCCAGCAGAGGGGGCCGGACCCATCCCCAGCAGGGAGGCCGGGCAGGCGTAGGCCGGGCATCCCGAGGCTGGGAGGATGGTGCCGGGGAGCAGCTTCGAGGGGGTTCTGGGGGCCGGGGCCGGAGGGGCCGGGGCCGGGGCTCCCCTCATCTCCTAGGGGCAGGAGACAGCTCAACCTCTGATCGCAAGTCCAAGGTAGGCACCAAGCAGGACATGAAGCTTGGGCCAAGGTTTTCTGTTCCCTGTTTATTACTTGTTTGTTCATTCGTTCATTGTTCATTCATTCGTTCATTTTTCTGATCTTGGGATAGAAACTAGGGCCTTGTGCATGTTGGGTGAGTGTTTTACCATTGAGCTACATCCTTAGTCCTGAGCTTTTATTTTGAGATAGGATATATCATCTCACTAGGCTGCCCAGGCTGGCCTTGAATTTGGCATCTTTTTGCTCAGCCTCCTCAGTGGCTGGGAAAACAGGCCTGCCCTGCTGAGTCCAGCTTGTTCACTTCTTTGCCTTTCCGTTTCCTCTATGCTCTCTCCTCCCTCATCCTCTGTCTTTGGATCCCGTGTCCCTCCAGCTGGCTTTCAGAGGGGTTCTCTTCTTCCTTTCTTGACCAGCACTCTGCGTGTGTCTTAGGTTCTGATTCTGACTTCCTGCTCTTGCCTGTTTCCTATGTAGAGTCTGCTTTGTGCTCACTCTGTGTCTGTCTGTCTGTGTGTTCAGATTCATGTTAGGAGTAGTGGCCTTACTGTAACTGCTGCTCCCCAGAAGCCAATGGCCTGGGCGATGGCTCATGGCTTGTGTGGACTTGTGTCTAAGCTGCTTCTATGAGTCTCTGCCCTCGTGACGTTGCTTTGTCTCTGGGAGTAAAGATTCTTGCTCTTAAAGGAAACACCAGTTAGGGTTTGTGAGCTGCTGCTGCATGGGGTTGCAAGTCTGGGAGATAACTTGGTCACTAAAGTGCTTGAGGCGTGTGTTGGTCCCTAGAGCCCACAGAAGAGATGAGTGTGGTGGTGCAGGCTTGTGATCTGTACCCTAGTGGTTGCAGTGGAGACAAGTGGACCTTGGGCACTGTGGTCAGCCATGCCAATCTATGTAGTGAGCTCCAGGCCAGTGAGAGGCTCTGTTTAAAAAATGGGGGATAGGCATGGTGTTGTGGTGCACACCTTTCATTCCAGCAGAGGAAGGCAAGCACATCTCTGCTAGTGAATTCCAGGCTTGCTGGAGCTACATAGTGAGACTCTGTCTCCAAAGAAGAAAATGAGACTAGTGCTCAAAGTTGTCCTTCTGGCCTCCACATGTGTACACATGAACACGCATGTGCATGCACAGACACCAGATGCAGTGGCCTCAGTAGAACCAGGGTTTGCCTCTCATGTTAAGTACTGTGGATCAGGAGGCCAAGGCCTTCGGATTGTTATCCACAAGGTGACACTGGGGCACTGACAACCCCCAAGAAAACACATTTTCTTACATTTTTATTGGTAAGATCTTGGCCACATTCACCAGCAGTGGAGGCTGGGAAACTGTCCTGGAGTCCTGTCCAGCTGGCTGTAGTTTGTAAAGTGTGTTAGTGTTGCAGATGGGAAGGGGAAGGATGGAGTGCTCGCCTGTTGCTTGCCAAGTCACTACCTCCATGCATCATTTCTGTGCTGGCTGAGGTGTGTCAGGGTCCCCAACATCCACACAAGTTTTGAGTTAGGTACACTTTGTCACCTGTCTGTCCTTGGGGAATTTGGGCTGCCCTGTCTTTCCTGTATAGCTAGTTGTGTGGTTCTTTCTGACAGCCATGTGCCATCTTGTTCCCACAGGAGTGGGAGGAGCGGCGCAGGCAGAACATTGAGAAGATGAATGAGGAGATGGAGAAGATCGCCGAATACGAGCGAAACCAGCGGGTTCGCGTCGGGCAGCTTGGGGGGTGGGCTGAGTGGAAAGGCACCCAGTGCCTCCCAGCCTGTCCACATGCCAGCTCTTCTGCTGCAGGAAGGGGTGCTGGAGCCCAACCCAGTGCGCAACTTCCTGGATGATCCCCGACGTCGGGGTGGGCCCCTTGAGGAGTCTGAGAGGGACCGCCGGGAAGGCAGCCGCCGCCATGGACGCAACTGGGGAGGCTCGGATTTTGAGCGGGTGCGCTCTGGCTTGGAACAGGAGCGACAGGTGCGTGATGCATCTCCATGTGGCGGGCTTCCCAAGAGCTGTGCTTCAGGCTGGCTGTGATGGGCAGACTGTGGGTTGCTTTTTGTGAAAACTAGCACTAGCTTGATTTGGGGGATTTTGGTAGGGTCTTGGGCTGGCTAGGAACTAACTGTGTGGTTCAAGCATTTGGGTTGCCATGCTTGGCCAGTGTTTTCTATTTTCTTTTTGAGGTAGAATCTCACCATGTAGCCCTGGTGACCTGGGCCTCCAGGCCAGCCCAGTTTACATGAGGTGTAGCTTTAAGCCCAGCACAGACATCTGCCTGTTTGTACCGGGTGTTGGGCTTACAGCTGTGCACCACTATGCCCTGCTGCCAGTGTTTTCTTTGTTAGGGATTTATGCTGGACTTTTTTCCCTCATGTTGGGATTTACCAGGGTCTTACACATGCTATACAAACTATGTATCAGGAGGTACGTCCCCCATCATTTTTATCTTCATTAAGACTACCCAGGTAGTCTTGGAACTCTTGATCCTCCTGTTTGAGCCTTGTAAGTGCTGGGATTACTGGCCAGGGAAACTAGTTCCAAGAAAAAGTTGTAGTGTATCCCAATGGGAATAGAAAGGGTAAAAGTCTAATTATAGGCCAAATAATACAAATCACCACCCCAGATGCTGAGGAGGGTCAGGGATGTTTCTTAAGAAAAATGAGGAGGGCTGGAAAGACTCTTCAGTGCTTAAGAGTGCTGAATGATGCCCAGCGTTGTGGCGCACACCTTTAATTCCAGCACTTGGGAGGCAGAGGCAGGTAGATTTCTATGAGTTCAAGGCCAGCCTGGTCTACAGAGTGAGTTCTAGGACAGCCAGGGCTACACAGAGAAACCCTGTCTCAAAAAAAAAAAAAAAAAAAAAAAAAGGTGCTCTTCTGAGTACTCATGTTTAGTTTACACACTGGGCAAGTCAGAACTGCCTGTAATGCCCCAACTCCAAAGCACCTGACACCCTATTCTGGCCCTTGTGGGTACTTGTACACATGGGGCTTATATTCACACAGACACAGACACATGGTATACATAGGAAAATAATAAAATCTTAAAAAGGCAAGATAGAGAGAAAGGCCTAGTGGGTAAGAGTGCTTGGTGCGTAAGCAGTAGAACCTGGGTTTGAACCCCTAGCACTCATGTGGAAGGTCGAGCATGTCTCCATGCATGCCTAGGGATGGAGACAGGAAGATTGTTGGGCTTGCTGCCTGCTAACCTAAGACAGAGTCCCTGCTTCAAGGGTGACAGAGCAGGACAGACCTCTGGCCTTCACACATACACCACCAAATGGGAATGCTTAATTCTAGAAGGATGAGATCTGGCACTTGGGAGGTGGAAGCAGGCCAGTCTGGTGTGGGCATTTTCTCAACTGAGATTCCCTCTTCCCAAACAACTGTAGCTTGTGTCAAGTTGACGTAAAACTAGCCAGCACAAGGGGTTTAAGGCCATCCTTAGCTTTATAGTGAGTTTGAGGCAGCCACCCTGGGCTACATGAGACCCTGTCTGAAACCAAAAATTTAAGAGATCCATTCTGAGGAGGCCACTTGAATCACACACTTGCTGCTTGTCGGTGCTCTGAACAGTGGTTCTGCTTTATCCTGTGTGCCCTGCGTCTGGGGGGAGGGTCATGGAGAGGAGTTGGAGACTGATTGATTGGCTGTGGTGTTGGCAGGGCCGCAGGGCTGGCCTGGGCAGTGGGGGCGACATGACAATGTCCATGACCGGCCGGGAGCGGTCAGAGTACCTGCGCTGGAAGCAGGAGAGGGAGAAGATCGACCAAGAGCGTCTGCAGCGACACCGCAAGCCCACCGGGCAGTGGCGGCGGGAGTGGGATGCCGAGAAGACCGATGGCATGTGAGTCAGTCTTCTTCCCGCTGGGTCCTGGCTCCAGCCACTTTCTCATCATCATGGGGATTGGTGATGTTTGCTACAGCTGGCCATGTCTCAGTGGTGTGTGGAAGCCTGCCTTTCCTTTTCTCTTTTTGCTACTGGGGATTGAAGCTGTAGCCTCTGGTATGCTGAAAGTGCTGCAGTGCTAAGCTAGACCCCCAGAGCCTCACTGGGGGATGCTAGACAGGTGCTCTACCACTGAGCATCTCTACAGCCCCATTCCCCACCTTTATAACTTTATGAGTAGTCTGCATGTATGTTTGTGCACTATTGCATGCCTGGTGCCCATGGAGTCTATAAGACAGTGTCAGATCCCTTGAAACTAGAGTTAGAGGGTTGTGAGCTACCATGTAGGCACTGGGAGATAAACCTAGGTCCTCTGGAAGAGCAGCCAGAGCTCGCTGAGCCCGGTCTTCTGTCCTTGCACCTTTTTACTTCTCGAGGCAGTATGTTAACTAGGCTGGCTTTGATCTGTCAGTCTTACTGCCTCAGCTGCTTTCTATTATATTTCATGTAATTCGTTCTGCTTCTTGAGTCAGGGTTTCTCTGTGTAGCCCTGGCTGTCCTGGAACTCAGATCTCCCTGCCTGGGATTAAAGGCGTGCACTACCATGCTCTGCTTGTATGTTATTTTTATTTATTGAGAGAGCAAGAAAGCACAGAAGACAGCTCATAGGGAAAAGTTCTATGGTGTGGATCTGGGGATTAGTGGCAGTCACCTTTGCCTGTTGAGCTGTCTTGCTGGCCCAACTACCTCAGCTTAAGTGCTGTGATTATAGGCTGTGCAGCTCAAGTGGGCACAGAATTCAGCATCTTCCAGCATTAGCCTCACAGATGCCCAGCTTGTATAAGGCAAGTTTTGTCATGTGCTTACATGCCTGATGGGTTGTACTGACCCAGGGCAGCATAAGACTCTAGGTCTCCCAGGTTCTGTATCTCCCTGTATGATGAGTGCCACAGATGCTCGACAAGGTGCAGCCAGCACAGGGTAAGGGATGAGGAAAACTTTCAGCTGCTGATCCCGAGTGCCTGTCTTCTTTGGGCTCACTCAGCCTGCTTCCCTGGAGATTGGTGGCAGACTGATGCTCTTCATTATTTACAAGGCCTCAAGGACAGCCTGAGCCCTCAGTTCTCCTGCCTCCACCTCGGAAATGCTAGGATCCCATGCCTGACCCACAGTTGCATCCCCCCTGTTTTGAACATGCACCGAATGTGTTCATTCTGGGATGGAGGCTGAGGGCAGCAACCCTAGGAGACCTGCCTGTCTTGGTGTGTTAGACACACGAGGTGCAGAGGTCAGTGGGAAGTGAGCCATCTCTCCAGCCACTGCAGTTTTGTTTCACACTATGTATCTTTGCCTGGCTTTGTCACTAGGAAGCTCGGTTTGCCCCTCACCCATCATTCTACCCTCGCCCTGTCTAACCCTTGGCCCCTTTGAAGCTGCTTTGGTTTGTTCTGGCCCTGCCTCTGACTCTGCCCTGCTTTCTCCTGCCTTTCCCTAGTTCCCTCAGCTATTGCTGGCTCTGCTCTCTTTTGCCAGGTTCAAGGATGGCCCAGCTCCTACCCATGAACTGTCCCACCGCTATGGTGAGTGCTATCCTGGAAAGGTTAGGCAGTGGGGTTTGAATTCAGCATATGCTGTGTCCCTCTCCCCTAAATACTTGGGTCTGGGTTTCTTTTGTAGATGACCAAGCTTGGGCAAAACCTCCTAAGCCCCCCACTTTTGGAGAGTTCCTTTCTCAGCACAAAGCTGAAGTCAACAGCCGCAGGAGGAGAAAGAACAATCGACCTCAGGCCAAGGTGGCCCCTCGTGCCTATAGGTGGGGTGCCCCTCCCTTGGGACATTCACCTCCTCAGTGTGCTTGGGTGTGTGGAGTCCTTCTCGTTGGCTCTGTGTACACTGCTCTGTCTTGGCTGTGTCTACTGTCTCCTTTGCCCTCAGTGCAGCGTGTCAGATGTTCTCTGAGGAGAAATCCATCCCATCCGACACCCAGGCCTTACCTCTTTGCTCTGTCCACTGTAGTGACCATGACAATCGCTGGGAGACAAAAGAGGAAGCTGTGTCCTCAGCCCCTGAGCCCTCTCAGTCCCTGTCCTTGGAGGAGACGCCCACACAGGTGAGGCAGAACGCGTATTAGATAGGGTGTATGTATGTGGGGGGTCTGTGGGGGTGACAGGTTCCAAGCATTTCCTTGATCTGCCTGTGTTCCCAGCAGCCTCCTGAGACCCCAGCCCCAGCCCACCGGCCTCCTGAGGAGGATGGTGAGGAAGATGGTGAGGAAGATGTGGGAGAAGAGGAGGAGGGAGAAGAGGGGGAAGATGATGAGGAGGATGAAGAATGGGAGGACGTGAGTGAAGATGTTACTGAGGAGGAAGAAGAGGAAGAAGAAGAGTTTGAAGAGGAGGAAGAGGGTCCCAAGGACCAGGAAGCAGCAGCTGTTCCTGATCACCAGCCTGAAGCTGAGCCTGCTGGGAAGCCCACCTGTGAGCAGGTGGACCCCGTGCCTGCTGGGCCCCAGGAGTTGCTGTCCCCAGTCCCCGTTGAACCTCCCAGCCCCTTCTCACCCTCTGAGGACCACCAGCCTGTGTCTGACTGGGGTGAGGAGATGGAACTGAATTCTCCCGGCACTGCCCACTCGCCTGGTGCCCACCCTTTGGGTGAGGCCTGGCCTTTTGGGAATGTTTGAAACTGGCTGCCTGTGTGTGTGTGTTTGTGTGTATGTGTGTACACAAGGCTGTGGCTGTGCCCACACCTCCATCAACCCTTGTGGGAAGGGCAGTTGGTGCCTACTTCATGCCCTTATCCCAATTCCCAGAGCCTGCTCTTGCTGGTTCAGAGCCTCTCTCCAATAAAAAGTTCACTTCCTTAAATGACACCCACCCCACTGTGTCCTTGAACCCCCCTTGCTCTCCTCATATGGGGAGATGTTTGGAAAAGGAGGGGCTTGACTGAGCCTCCCCTTCTCCAGGAGGTGACCAGCCTGCCCTTGCCTCCTTGGAGAGCGGGCCCAGCTTGGCAGGAACCCTGAAGTCTGAAGAAGAGGGGCCTGAGGCATCTCCAGGTGGGATGCATGAGACTGGTGGAGGTGGGTGGCCTGCTTGCCTTCCTTGGGGAGGGAAGGGCTTGGGGATAGAAAACAAGTGGGCCCTGTGAAGGCTTAGAACAGGGCATGAACTGAGTCAGGTGCTGGGCTAGGTTGGGGCTAGAGTCAGACAGTTGTGGTGCAAAGGGTGGGCTTTAAGGCTCCAGCTAATAGAAACTGTGAATAACGCTGGGCTCAGGGAAGGAGCTAAGAGTGGGATTCGAAATCTGAATGTTCTCAGAGATAAGAGGCTGAAGCAATAGGATTTGGAGTTTGAAACCCAATTCTGGTTAGAGATCCTGTGGTTGGTTAAAGGTAAGAACGGCTGAACAAATGGAGCTGGCTGTTAAGTCTTAATCTGAAGGCAGGATTAGTATTTTGGGTCGGACCAGAATGGGGTTTTGAACCCCACGGAGTAGAAGCAAGAGACTGATCTTGGTCACCTTAACGCAGTCGGCCAGGGTCCTGCTTGCGTTCATCTTTCAGTTCCCCGGCAGTAGAATAAGATGTGGAACAGAGCCCAGGAAAGGCTGAAAAAGGAACGGTGGGAGTGGAGGCCAAGGGCATCTTTTGGAAAGGGGCCGGGCCAAACAGGACAGTTTGGGGTCCTGGGAGGAGTGGGTGAGCTCATTAGACTAGCACTTCCCAGTAATCGACTTCCCAGTAGTGACAGATTTAAATTGGAGGGGGTTCTGCTTCAAGGACTTCCTGAGGGTTGAGTAAGCTGGAGGCCAAGTTGTAGGTGGGTTTGATTAGGGTTTGGGATAGGGTGGGTCGGGCAGGCTGGTCCTCCATTTACCACTTTTTGTCTCCTCAGAGGTAGGCCCCGAGGGCCAGGAGACGGCGGAGATCACAGACTTCCAGAGGGTGCGTTTCTGCAGGGTGGTGGCGGCTGCTCCGCCGCGCCGCCGGGGGCTCCCCGCTGACAGCGCCAGCAGACCGGGGCGCCTCGCCCTGCACTAACCTTCAGCTCCTCTGCTTCTGCTACACTCCGCCCAGGACAGGGTTAAACTTGGGGGGGGGGCAGATTAGCAAGGATCCCGGGCCCGAGGGGAGTCTTCTAAATTTGCTGAGGACCCAGTGGGACCAGGCGTATGATACTCGTCTGGCCAAGCCCTCGGAGTCAGTCTCTGTGAGGCCTGGGTGTGCAGGAACCTGCAGCTAGGGCTTGAATTAAACGCGTGCTACCGCCAACGGTTTGAACTGTGCCGCTAGCTGATCAGGCTGGACGGCTGGGCTGCTGGGCTGCTGGGCTGCTGGGCTGCTGGGCTGCTGGGCTGCTGGGCTGCTGGGCTGCTGGGCTGCTGGGCTGCTGGGCTGCTGGGCTGCTGGGCTTGGCGGGCTTTGCTGTGGCGGAAGAGGCGGGACGAGAATGCTCCTCTCATCCTCACACCTCTCCCCTCCCACCCTGCAGGCCGTCCCGCAATCCTGAAGACGCTGCTGGGAGGGGCGGCAGCGCAGGTTTGCCTGGCTCCCAGGATGGCTGCTTCTCCGTGCAGTCTACCCTGGATCCCTCGCCTCTAGGGAACAGAAATTTACGCTGGTGTGGAGTTCCTGGGGAAGGGGCCCCGCAGGGCTGATGGGTAGAACTGGGTCTCGGAACACTTGAAGCAGTCGAGGGATGTGAACATGGGAGGGGCGGGGCCGGGGCTCGGTGGGCGGGGCTAGCGTTCAGAAGCTCTGGGGGCCTCCCGCTTCAGCAGCCTAGGAACCTTACCTCCGGAGGGCTGGGGGCTGTTAGTGTGCGGGGCTGCAGTCGGTGGAAGAAGGAAGGGGTTCTATGAGCTCGGAGAGGGCTAGGGTAGGGAACAGGAGTCGGAGGTTGGAATCCTGACCCAGCTAGGGCGGGAGAAGAGCGGGTGGGCGCGGCTTTGAGGGGGTGGGGCCAAGAAATCTTTCCTTGATAGTGGTGGGTCGGAGGCGGTAGGGGCGTGCCTAGGATGCAGGGGCTTGGCTGAGCTGAGGGGGCGGTCTGACAGGGCGTGGTCCTGGGAGGGGCGTGGCTTGCTTGATATGGTCGGGGTGGGGGCGGGGTCGGTGCAGGCTGAGTGGGCAGCGCGATGCGGGGTTCGAGCTGCGTGGGCAGTGGTGGCGAGAGCCCAGGTGGTACGGGGCTGAGCGAGGGGCCCCGCGGCCGATGGCTGCGGCTCGCCCCTGTCTGCGCCTACTTCCTGTGTGTGTCCTTGGCCGCTGTGCTGCTTGCCGTGTACTACGGGCTCATCTGGGTCCCCACGCGGCCGCCTGCGGGCCCTGCCGACCCCCTGCCCAGCGCTGCGGTCGCTCCGTGTGCTCGAGCAGCACCACCCGCCCCGCCTCCGGCCTCGTCCTGCTTGCCTGGGGCCTCCGGTGGGCCACGACCGATGCCAGGACTGCCGCGGAGCCGCCGCCACGGCCGCCGCCCAGCTCCAGGAGCGACGCCGGAGACCGCTCACCGAGCTCCTGGATAGTCTGGCCCGCCCCCACCGTGGCCTGCGTCTGTCTGACTGCACCACCGGGCCTGGCCTGCGCGGCGCCGCCTCTCTCCTGGCCGCGGTCCTGATCCTGCCCGACCTTATCCCACCCTGCTCCTCCCTGGGATTCAGCGCTCATCGGCAATAAACTCCAGCCTCAGCTGGCTTACCTGCACTGTGGTTGTCGGCAGCGTTCGCTGGTCTCTTCTAACCCCGGGGCCGCGGGGGCCTTAAAGGCTTTTCTCTTTCATTGCTCGCATGTAATTTTTTTGGTTGGAATGGGAAAAAGCGGCTTGCCAGTTTTCGGGGCCATTGAAGGTCAGATACTGTAAAGGCCTTAGCAGTTTTCGGGGTGTCATGGGCTCTCGTATAGCGTCGGAGACAATGGTGTGTGCTGGAAACTGCAGTTGGTGTAGTTTACAATGGCAGGGGTAGAGGATGTCACCAGTGTGCTAGCTTGTCCTGGCTTGGGTGGTGATGGGACACATTTGCTGCTTTGAAAGTGTGGAACATATAGCTGAACCAAAAACAAAACAAAAACTGGTCTGCATTGCTGTTGGTGCCATGCTGAGAAGCTGGTGTCACTTCTGATAAAGAAGTCATGCGATTTAGTCCATTTTCCCTTACCCATGACTGTGGCTTGGCCGTAGGCAGGCCTGGGAAACCTTACTGCCCTATTGCAAGATGGGGTTTTCTTTATGGTCTTCTTCCCCTTGGGCCGGACAGCATCAGGAACCTGAGGCCTCTTGTCAGATGGGAGTGTATTACCTGCCCTGCTGGTCCCTTCTGTCCTACCACACCCGCCACGGGATGATGTAGAGCAATGTGCTTAAACTTCTCTGGTCTTGTAAAATGAAGACAACACATTGTTGCTCAGAGAATTAAACTAGTGTTCCAAACCTGAGAACAGCGTTGGTTTGTGCCCTGTGTCCACTTTGTCCTTCAGCCTTTCAGAGAGTCACAGCCTGTATTCCCTGGGGATAGCCTGTCAGCCCAAAGACTGTACACCATCAAGGAGTGAGTTGGGGGAAGGAGTCCTTGTCTGTCCCTTTAGACTTCTCTTTCTGCTTTCCAATTTCTTTTTCTTCCAGACCCTGCCCCCCCCCGCCTTTCCTCATCTCCCTCCACTTTCTTCTCTTTGCTTTTCTCCTTCTCTGTTTTTATAGTGTCTCCATATTGTCACTATGCTCCTGTGTCTACTGACTCACAAGTCTCTGTAGTGTTCTTCCACTGAGCCACCCCTTCCCGCTTTGTGGCAAGGTCTTTGTGTTCTCAGCAGACCCCCTTCCTCTGTCTCCTGAGGGCTGGGATTGCAGATGTGTACCGCTCTGCAAAGTTCGGCTTGTAGGCTTTGAATTCTGACTAGCTCTGACCACTTTAACCATTTTGGGGGTGTGTGTGTGGGGGTGGGGAGTAATTTTATTCCCCACATGATGATGAGTCAACTCATACCAAGCTATTTGTATTTTTTTTATTTATCCCTTCCAATGTGACTGTTCACACATTTTGCTGCAAAAAGACATTACCATGTCCAACAGGGGAAGTGGACTGTGCCTGCCTCAGGCCCCTGGGAGTTTGCATAACAGGTACAGAATGGCCTTGCTAAAATTGGATCCGCCTTGAGCTCTGAAATGCATCTGTCCCTGAAGACCTCAGCAAGGGACTATGGACCTGCAATTTGGCACACTGTCAAACCTGACTTATCTTAATTACTAGTTCAACATTTAATTAATTAATGGTTTTGTTAAAAACTAATTTTTCATCACCTTTTTTTTTTTTAAATCTCTTATGACCCAAGCTGGTCTTGAACATGATATATCAGAGGAACATGATGTAGCAGAGGAACATGATATAGCAGAGGTTGACGTTTGCATTATGTTGATTTTTTTTCCTGGGGAGGCAGGAGCAAATGCCTCTTCACCCACACAGGGCAGTGCCAAGTGAATTTGTTGGGGGGGCATTAATTGTAGGAGAGTGTGGGTGACTCAAAGGCAGCTACACCACCACAAAGCTGGATCTGCTGGATGACCGACAGGTCAGAAAGCCGAGGCCTTGGGGTAACCTGAGTGATCTACAAGCAACTGGACAGCCGGGCAGATCAGAGGCTCTAGATAAAGCGTCCACTCTGGTCACAGGTGGCCAAAGCCATTCACATTTTCCAGAGCGTCTCATGCCTTGGAGATCAGACCATGGGCCTCAGCAAGACCATTAAAGTCCTGTACCATGTCAGAGTTCCTGTGGACTCAGCCTCCTGCTATTTGTTACTAGTCATGTGTGCACATGTGGGGGGTCAGAGGATAACTTCTGGAGTGGGTTTTCTCCTTCCACTATGGTACCTGGGCATTGAACTCTGGACTTCTGGGTTGTGCCACAGACATCTTTCCTCACTGAGCCATATGGGCGGTCCTGGATCTGTATCAATGACAAGACAACGTGACTACCCTGTGGTATGGCTGAAGGGAAGGTTTTTATTGTAGAGAGAGAAAGAGAGAGAGAGAGAGAGAGAGAGAGAGAGAGAGAGAGAGAGAGAGAGCAGTCAGAGGCATCTGGAAGAATCTAGAGTGGGAGAGAAAGCAGACTGGATATGGCCATGGTGGGGTAGGGGGAGCCAGAGAGGGCAGGAGGAAGAACTAAGGCAGGAACACTAAAGAGCAGGCACAGCTGGAACAGCAGGGTTATGAGGAGAATGCGCAGCTGGAGGAAGGAAGCCCGTGAGCTGGAGTTCTGACTCGGGAGGAGGTGAGGAGAGCTGAGAAGAGCCGGGATGCTGACACGGACTCTGAAATGTGTAACTGGTTCTTGTGATACTGAGCGAGCCTGGAGGCCAGCCTGGGCCTTGGTATGCTAATAAACATCACAGGTTTGACCCTTCTGTAGGTGGTAAGGTGATAAGGAGAATGTCTCCTTTCGGTAGAGGTCTAACCATCAGAATTTGGGGAAGCCGAGTTTCCTTTGGACCGGCAGGATCATCCTCCTGCTGGCCCAGTGAACTGAGCATCAGATACGGCTTTCCTCATGCTGATCCCTCAGTAATGCCTGTCCTTCCTCTGTCCCTGACACCCACGGGGGACATGTGTCCCTAATGTCCCGGAGAAGCCAGCCTGCTGGGGACTGCTTTCCCTCAGATGGTCTCAGCTTATGCAGCTCTTGTCTCGAGGAGAGACAGGCAGCTCTGCTGCTCAGTTTTTCTGCCTCCACAGCAGCCAGGCTGATGCCATATGCCCCCACGTCTCACAGGCTCAGAAGCCGGGCTCTGACAGCTCCCTCTGCCAATCTGAGAGCTCCTTGCTTGTCACGGTCTCCTTGTGCTGCCCATGGTGTGTTGAATCCTGGATTCTCGCTCTCTATTAAACATTGCACCCAGGGGCTGGCTCCTGCACTTTTCCTTCTCTCCCTCCTCCTCTCCCTCCTCTTCTCCCTCCTCCTCTCCCTCCTCCTCCCCTCCCTCCTCCCCTCCCTCCTCCTCCCCTTCCTCCTCTCCCTCCTCCTCTTCTTAAGATTTATTTATTTTATTTTTTTGGTTTTATTCGAGACAGGGTTTCTCTGTGTAGCCCTGGCTGTCCTGGAACTCACTCTGTAGACCAGGCTGGCCTCGAACTCAGAAATCTGCCTGCCTCTGCCTCCCAAGTGCTGGGATTAAAGGCGTGTGCCACCACCGCCCGGCTTAAGATTTATTTATGCAAGTACACTGTCACTGTGTTCAGATACGCCAGAAGAAAGCATTGGATGGTTGTGACCCACAGTGTGGTTTCTGGGAATTGAACCTGGGTCCTCTGGAAGAGCAGTCAGTGTTCTTAACCGCGCGGAGCCATCTTTCCAGCCATCCTGTCCTCTTCTTCCTCAATCTTGACTCTTGCTTTGGGTTTCAAGTTCCGATGGCTCTTAAGCACCCATCTATCTGATACACTTTTCCTTTTGGTTCTCCAGCCATGAAAATGGCAACCCAGCCCTTCTGTCTCATCCCTACACCATCAGTTTTACCCTGAGGTATCAGAGGCTAACCCGCCCACCAAGTCAGAGGCTTACATAGAAGATGCTCGAGCCACACAATGGCCACAGTGGCTTGGGGACAGTCTTGCCCCGTGAATGCTACTCTTGGCAACCACAGTGTGTTCCATGTTCCGTCATCCACGTTCAGTGACAGCCTGTGGACTTCACTCATCCAGCCAAGATGCTGCTCTGTACCATACAGGAAAAACAGCCACCATGGGATTCCCCGCCCTGGATCCATAGGTTGTCATCCATCTGGGATCAGCAAGGAGACACCTGCCCCTGCTGTAAGGAATGGAAGCTGCCTCTAGGTGGAGACATGCCTTTGCCTCATCCTGTAAGGGGCGGGATGGGTCAGACAGTGAGACTGTCTCTAAAGGAAAGGCAAACAGCATCGATAAAGGCCAGGGCTGCTGTAACTCCAAGCTTGCCTACCTGGCAGGCACAAAGCCCCGGTGTGTTCTCCTTAGTCCTCAACTTAGTGAGTTCTAGAGTCACCTAGGAGACAAGCCTCCGGGCATGTATGTGGAAGGTCACCTAGGTTACCCAAGGTGGGAAGACCTTCCCCCGTGGGTGGCACCATCCCATGGATTGGGGGCCCATGGCTGAATACAAAGGAGAAAACAAACTGGCCACTGTCGTTCACCCCTCAACTTCCCGAGTAGGGGTACAATGGACTCAGCTGCCTCAAACTGCCCTGATGGACGGTACCCTAATTAACCCTTCCCTCCTCCCTCTCTTCCTCCCTCCCTCCCTTCTTC